GGCCTACATTATCAGAGCTTGGTAGATGTTAAGATTATAAATAATGTTATTTATTAATTTATCATTCATAGGCTACATAATGAATAATCCTGTCATTTACAATTTATGAAGTTTATTAATTTAGTTAAAAATGGGACAAATATTTAAAATGTAGTCCTGATTAAAAATCCCATCCCATCCAGGTAAAAGCTGCAGATTGTGCAGGATTCATCTAAAAGGTGATAAATGGATCCAGACTGCTTAAAGCACACAGATATATCCTGGAGGAGTTCTTTAGGAATGAATTAAATAACCAGATGTGTTCTGTTGAATGTTAACATAGCCTACTTGTTCTGTTTTGTTGTTGAAATAATCAGTGTGAATGGGTGACCCTTATTTTTCCACACTGAAGGTGGCAACCTTATTCTCAGTTGCAAATGAAGTTTATAAATGAAATGACAATACACTGATTCCCCTGCTATAGGACCACACAAACAATTTAATTTGTTATATTCTCCCTATATAGTGAAACAAAATGGCTACAACAGAAATAGCGATTCTTGATGCACTTAAGGAGCTACTGGAAAAAGAGTTCAAAGATTTCAAATGGCACCTGTCAAATGGTGGGACACAATACAACTCTATTCCTCGTGGGACGCTGGAGAACGCTGATCGCCATGATACTGTGACTATCATGGTGCAGCAGTACAGAAGTTCAGACGCTGGGAAGATCGCAGTCAGAGTGCTGCGCAAAATTGATCAAAATGAGCTTGCTGATCAACTGAAGCGAAAACTTCAGGAAGGTACTTTTGACACTTTTTTTTATCTATATCTATGAATATTTGATCTAAATTGCATTTTGAGTTTATCTGTATGTCTCCATCAGTTCCAGAGGACGTTTCTGCTGAAGGTGGAGCTTCATCCGGTGCAATGGCTGCAAACGCTTCAACTGCAGGAGTTAACGTTACCATAAACTCCTCCAGTGGAGGAACCGTGAAGGCCCCTGTTATTCACGGCGGTGTGTTTAACGGCCCAATGAACTTCAGCTAATGCTCAAGCACCTGTCTTATCTTATAACAGTGATTTTAGTATTTACATCCTCAGGTTTGAAATGAAAGCTGATTGTGGCTTCTAAATCATTGCGTT